TAATCTTATAATTCAATGATCATACACACTTAACACCTACTAAGAGTACACGTAATCTCGTGCACACACAAAGCCCGCTGCTTTCACCTTTGACGACAATAATAACCACCACGATGGCGTCTTCCAACCAGAACGAGAATGTTGGCGTGGCCCTGGCCCTGGTCTTCGGAGCGKGAGCATCCACCGGCATCGGAGCCGCCGTGGTCTTCATCCCCTCCCTCGTCAAGATCGCGAGCCGCAGGGTCCTGGCGTCCTCCCTCGGGTTCTCCGCCGGCGTCATGACCTACGTCTCCTTCATCGAGATTTTCAACAAGTCGGCGGACAGCTTCGAAAACGCGGGTCATCCCCCGGACAAAGCCTACATCTACGCAACGCTGTGCTTTTTCGGTGGTGTGTTGGCCATGCTGGTGAGAACGGAGCACGAATTTTTGAAAAAAAGACGGAGAGAGCCAGGTGGTTTCGTCGAGTCCATTGTTGCGATTGTTGTGGAAAATGAAGTGTGTGTGCTATCTATTTTTTTTTTCGTCAAACTGTAACTCACGCATCTCAAAACACACTGCGGGGCGGATTGTGCATGGGGGTTGGTTTTCGGAAAACAATCAAAGGTACTGAACTTGTTGGTGGGAGTTCTACTCGGCAAACGCGGCCATCACCACGACGAACTTCCCAAGAAAGCCAAGAAGTCCACCAGAAAAAGCGTGGACAAGCAACTCGTCGACGGGGTCAATGATTGCCCGACTTGCTGCAGCGCCGATCCCGTCAAGCAGCTGAACGATGTGCACAGAATGGCAAGCGTGATAGAGCACGAAATCGAGGACGCCGCGAAGCAAGCCGCAGAAGTATCGAATGCGGAAGAAGAGCAAGAGAAGGTCGTCTCGGTCGATCTCGAGGAGAAGAGCAAAATGGAAACCGTGGACGAAGAGAATATTCCCGCCGCTGAACTCGTTGAACCGGCCGGAGACAGCGCGGAAAACAAACGCCTCCATAAAATGGGTCTGAACACAGCCCTGGCGATTGGACTCCACAACTTTCCAGAAGGTATGTGCGAAAGAAATGCTTTTGGACCCTGACGAACCGTTTGCGGAAAAATGGATGCCTAACATCTTTTTTTGCACTTTGTACCAACAGGACTTGCTACCTTTGTAGCTGCTCTACAGGATCCCAAGGTCGGAGCTGTCCTTGCGATAGCAATCGCTATTCATAACATTCCAGAAGGTAGGAAGAGAAGAACTCTGTTCATTGCGCGTTTGCCTACACCCATGGCAGGCGTTGGTGATTATTCGAAAGAAAGCTTGCTTAGAACAAAGCTCATCAAAACTCTTGCGTTCGTTGCCATTCACAGGACTTTGCGTTGCACTTCCCATATATTATTCGTCGGGAAATCGCATGAAGGGATTTTTGTGGGCTCTTTTGTCCGGAGCCTCCGAGTTCATTGCGGCTCTTCTAGGGTGGGCCGTGCTTGCAAACTCGTTTTCGGAAAGTGCGTACGCAATTTTGTTCGGTTTGGTCGCTGGTATGATGATAATGATCAGCACGAAAGAGTTGCTCCCAACGGCTCATCTATACGACGACAAGGACACCGTTGTCTCCTATTCCTTCATAATTGGAATGGTAGTGATGGCGCTCTCCATGTGTCTCTTCCAACTCTAATTCTTAGAATGCAGTTGGGTTTTTTAATTGCAACAACTTGGCCGAATCCCTTACCATCGACTTCCAATCGTTCCTAGGAGTTGCGGGAAGGCATGCTTCCGGTATGATCGGACCATGGAAAAAGATTTAGGAAAAACTCCCCAAATAACCACCCATAAAGAAATAGAATTCTGGTTGCCACTTTGCTCATTCGTAGTTCAGGATGGACATGAAAGCATGAGAAAACACCTTAAGGAGATAACACCCATTTGTGCCTACCACTATCTGCAAAAAGGATTTTGTATGGATTGGAAAAAATGAAAGAAAACTCAAGTCACTTTGTCTTCCTCAGAATTAGTTAATGAGAATATCTTAAAGCTATTAGTAGTAGTAGTACAAGTAGTAGTAGCAGTAGTTCTGTTTCCGCCCTCGTGCTTTGTATTCAAATATCATCAACACTTGTGAGGTAGAAGTATTTTTTAAATCAGGGCACTACTACTACTACTACACATCCTCATTAAAAAACTTATTGTTACTACTACTAGTAGTAGTAGTACTAGTATGTTTACTAGTAGTAGTACTAGCTAGTAGTACTAGTAGTCACTCCAAGGGGCTAGCAGGACCAACATGCAAGGAATGGTAAAATTAAGAACATTAAGTTTTCTCACCAGCTCAAGATTTTGATTTCTGTGTTCTATTCTAATGGGGGTTGGAGGGTCATTTTTACCTTAAATTCTGTCAGTCCATCAAACCTAACGGGAATCACCCATTCACGATTTACCATTTATTTACGGGGACGGTTACTCGTACTTAGCAGATGTTTAGTCCAGATGCTCAATGATTTTCTCGAATGGTTCTGTTCCACGTGTTTCTCTTAAATTGAGGTGATTTGGTTCCACGTGAAACTGGAGCCCGTCATTTTAAAACGCGACCCTGATTGAAGATGAATTCTTGAAAGTTTGCCAAAGACGCGAAAAATAGCTGCTATCAATCTTCGGAAGTGCCAGTACGTACTCGTGCTAGTAGTACTTGTACTCGAAGCGGTATGAACTACTACGTTCGTAGTGAAGAACGAAGTATTCTGTTCCGTACAAACCGATCGAAACAGAAGGCCAATCAACACTTTCTGCTACAGAATCTTGAGACCATGTTTACAAGAGTTGGAAAGGTCGAAGTATCATTAGCAGTATTTTAGTTCCTGAGTAGAAGTTACCTTCTGTTGGGACAAGCATTGATGCATTCTCAACCCAAACAAACTTACCAATTGTAGGAAAGTCAAGGACACCAGAAAAATGACGCCCAGTTCGAATGATCCCGCGGAGGCCAGGAAACGCCGAAAAGAAATTATTCAATCGCAGCGCTCTGAGAACGAACTAATTGCAAATGGTTCAGTGGTTGCATCTTCTAGCCATCCTCCAGCCATTTCATCAGCGATGGATGGAATCCAAGTCAATAGTGCAGTCGACCATGTCGAAGGCCAACCAACCAACATTTCTAATAATGATCCCAGTAGCAATGGGGCCGACAAGAAACCTCCGAAGAAACGAAAACTTGGTTCTGGAGACCCCAATGGGAGGAAAAATAACAAGAAAGATAGCGGCAAGTCAAAGAAAACCCAGATTCGGTATGATCCGGATGTCCCCATGAATAAGGATCAGCTTGCTGCCTGGCGAAGGGAAGCCAGGCGCGTTCGTAACCGGGAAAGTGCCGCAGCAAGCCGCCAGCGAATCCGCAATCGCATTTCTGAATTGGAAGAGGAAGTCGGAGAATGGAAATCGAAGTATTCCATTGCACTCCAGAGATTGGAAGCACTGGAACAACACATCGCGGCGAACGGGAACGGAGAGAGTAGCATAGGTGTACAGGGAGAGCAGGAACCAAAGGAAGAACCACAAGAACAGAATCCACCGTCAGACCAGCCCACGGAACAGCATCCACAGGAACCTGGCCAGCAACCCACAGAGCAGCCGCTAGCCAGCTCTGATAATGCTAATGTCTGAAGATTGCGACAACATGATTAAGCTCTGATTGGATGATTTCGTAGAAGTTTCATGACAATCATCTCAATTGCTCATCCTGAGAGTTGGGAAAAAGAAATGTTTGTGAGATTCTCTTCATACTAGACTGGGAAAGGGTGTGAGCATGTTACATCGACATATGGATGTGCTCAATGCAACTGAATAAGTTTTTGTAAACTACTAATGTTTGATTACTTTTTAAGAAATTCTTGTTCGTATCAAGGCAATAAAACAATTATTTTGCAAGAATGCTGTGTTAGCAAAGATCTTGTTCAAAGCGAACATTCTCAGGTACTATGGGGCAGTCAAAGAAATGGAAAAAGATACTGTGACAGTATGGATTGATACTAGTACTAGGTCTTCCACCACTGATATCTACTTTATTTCTTTTGCGTTCTTTTACATCGTACATAATAGTAGAACTTGACAAGTACCACAAAAAGCACAAGTCCCACCAGCACAACCTGTGTTTCATAGTATATATTTCCTTGGTGCTGGGACCCATTGCTTTTGGATTACCCTTGAACTAGTAGTGGTACTTCTGACTGTAACAAAATGAACCTGCCATTCAGCTTGCTCTCTTGTGATACTAGGAGGCCAGGAAACAATAATTCCTAGTAGTAGTACTACTAGTAAAGAAACTTTTGTAAGCTTCCCTCTAAGTTGCTCTGCCCCTTCTAAGCTTCTTACAAACACTCTGGTGAGTATGCTGTGTCAGTACTAGCATAGTACAATTATAGCCATAACCTTGATTATTTGAAGGAATAATCTTTGTCTTAGTAGCTCGCCACCACCACAGCCCATGATCTGGTCAAGCTTCTTGTTCCACACACTCCCAAGAATACTAATGGTGCTACTGGTAGTACACTTCCTGTAGATATATTGAGATGCACCAAGTACTTGAGCCTTTGCACAGCATGAATCACACCATTATTAGTCAATCTTTTGTCTGGTTCTATCTTGTGCTGCCACTCCTCATCCAAACCCATTGAAATAGGAAGGAGTAGGAGCTGGTAAATGAAGAAGAAGCTATGACCACTAACAGGCCTAACCATGGTAAGTTGATACAAATGTTACAACAACAACAATAGAGTAGTAGTAGTAGGCAKGTGTGTCTGGACAGAACTTGAGAAAAAGATTTTATGATGTCCTTTGACTTGCCAGAAATTCAAAATTTTACATCAGTTTTCACCCTATCCTCTATTGATGGGAAGCCAAACATTTTCAGCTTATTTTCACCCTTCTACAATCTAAAGTGAAATTCTCAATATGTTTTTCTCTCTACTTTGGAAACTTCATCTGTATTTTATTTCTTCAATGTGATACTAGTATTTGGGGGCATTGTTCAGATATTTCAATAGCACTCCATGCACTCCAGGATACAATCAGCAACAACATATTTGTTGTTGCCATCCAGTAGGGTTGGTATCAACAAGTGATTCCTTCTTGGTCCCTTTCAACTTTGTATCATAGAGTGGACAATCAAATACAACTGGAATAGTTTATTTTGGTTTCTTATTTTTGCATTTAATTACAACTTTGACTAAAAAACTGACTTTAACTGTGGCTTATACCTTGGCATGTGCTACTAGATTTTTTGTCTATATGATTCAATTTTTTAATCCTACCAGGAGTCACTAGACAGTACTACAAAAATGGTCCAAAATCCAGGCCCATCAGTACAAATAACATATAAAATTAACTACAAATGGTCAGCTCACTCTAACAGCAATATATTGGTCCCCATTGGTTGCCAAAGACAAGTGATAGGCTAGGCATAGTATGAATTGATAGCCAGCAATGAAAGGAGGATTGTAGTTGTCATATGAAGGAGTAGGAGGATACGTATAGTGGTACTGCTGTATGTTTTATATTTAACTTGGAAGACTGCAGTTGTCCTTGTTTTGGTCACCCTTACTAAAGGATGGTGATGACTTGTAGATGACACTAAGAAGCTCCATTTCAAAGACATCTCATCTGGATGTTCAATTTGTTCCTAATTTCAATATTTCCCCTTCATGAAGAAGCTCTGGCTGTATCAGTCCTACTACTACAGGCTTATGTCATGGTTCTTCTAAGGAGAACAGGAGGACACCAAAAGAATAGATAGCCCTTCCTATGTGGTATTAGTGACTTCTTGCACTGTAGTGTCTTCATTTCTTAAAGTGCCTCTCTGAACTTGTAGAATGTAGTTTATGATTATTGTCTGTGTTGTACAAGCTTGTTCTTATGGAATGACTGCCTCTTGAATCTATGATCATGTTATACAAACAGGATTGTTAATATGTCATTATCATCCTCAGGGTTGAACAGCACAATAATGTGAGTTGAGTTTACATGATACTATGTTGGACTATCCTTTGTGATGTTACTAGCTTCATGGATCGAATTTTGGTGCATTAAAGATGTGTTGACTTAGCCTCCAAAACACAGTGGTTGGAACCAGGAAATAGTCATACTACACAGCTGCACATATCAAATTTGATTGCTGACATCATTCTTTCTACCTGTTGAGTGTTAAAAATTCACAATAGGAGGAGTGTGTCCATCAAATGTATGAACAAATGACGTTTCATATTTGTTTTAGCCAATACTTTGGTTGCAGATTGGTGCATCCTGTCAAATATGTGGATATCAATTTTACATACACTCCTTGATATGCCATGGGCAAGAAGGCTCATGCAGTTATTCAATTTTAGCTATCTTAATGTCTGGTTGCTGGTGAGTACTACTAGTAGCAGATCCAAAGTAATGACCAGATCATCTCATGCTTCCTTGTTGGAATCTTTGATTGATGTGTTTGTATTATAATCTTCATTTCCTTTTGCTTCTTKGCTGTGACTTTGCATTGCTTTTTTGTGTGATCTCTGTTACTAATGGTATTGGGCTTTGTAGACTTCTTTCATTCTGGTGGATCAGCATTGGCTATCAAGCTTTCATTCAGGGGTAAATCATGTTTTAAATACACATTTTGCTCATATGCTTCCAAGGAAGGTCATTTGTGCTGCTAAATGACTTGACAGGGGACAAGGGTGAAGTTACTTTACACAAATATCCTGGAAGCCTCAAACCCACTACCATGCTATTTCAAACAGATATTGGTTGGCACCATCTATTAATGGGCCACCTTTCCCAACATTGAATGTTTAGTTGTCCTGATCTCCATAACATTTCCTATTCACCTGTGGTGTTGGTGGAAGCTTCCTTGACCAAATATTTTCTGAGTCCATATATTTCTTTATGGAAGGAACAAAATCAGGATCTTCATGAGCATCAAAAGCAGGTATTTTAAAGAGGACGGTTGACAAAGAAAATCTATCATTTGTTTACCCTTCAATGTCAGACATATCCATCCAATGGTATTTAGTTGGTTACAACAAAATTCTAGTGCTAGTCAGGATTTTTCACCACTTGGCCATGCCTCTTCAGAGATTCTGCTCCTCAAAGAGACTGATGGCATTCTTCTCCCTTGAAGTGATGAGTGTGGCCTAACATGTCTCTCTTCTAGTTCACAAGGTTACTAAAGATGATGTGATGATTTTTCCTTCTAACTCTGAAGGTTTCATCTCAAATGCCACAATCAATTCCTTGTTCTACTACATCTGAGTTTTCAAGAAGGCAATCTATGGCAAAAGCATCTGGTGTAATCCTGCTATAACTCCCACTGCAGATACACGTCCACTAAATCTTTTTTACCAATACTTCTATGTGTTGTCTATCTAACAACCACCAGAGTGTGTTCTACAGCTACAATTTATCAACTCCTGGGTGTCTTTAGTAATACTAGCAGGAGCTACCATTTGGTCTTCTCATTGATCAGCCTACTAAGGCTGTCCATCATTGGGGATGGTATTGCTATTGTAGAGCTTGGGCTAGCAAATGCAAGAAAAATGTGTCAAGCACACAAACATCCATCATAAGTTTGCCATATATTACCATATTTTCTATGCAATTTTCTCATGGTGACAGTTGTTGATAGGAAACATATTTTTCCTGAGTACATTCACCTGCTATCTTATGTCACACCAATACTGCTCCATGACACCAGTAACAAGGTAACTATCTGTTGATTGTTGGACATGGGCATTTCCTCCCAGCACAATGCTTTATCCCTTCTTTGAAGCACCACTGAAATGACCCTTGTGAGCATAATGCAAGTGGATAAGCATCCATGACCAACAATAGATAGGTGATCACCCCTTTTTAATATACTGGCTACTATTAGCAACATTACTATCAGCAGCACTCCTATCAGGGAGAGAAAGGAGAACCTGAAGCCTGGGAAGATGATATTAACAATCCTGGTGGGTGGTATCCCTACTATTACTACAGACCCAAGTTTGAATCAGGGACAGGGAAGTACAAAGGACACTTTCTTCCGTTGGGTTGCAAGCCTGTGGATGTAGCTGAACGGCATGCTGGTCTTGGCAAGATGCCTACTACTAGAGAATTTGAGAATACTGGATGGAAGTCCCATTATCTTGGTTGGGATTGTACAGTTGAAGATCATGAGAATCAGTTTTCAAAAAAGTAGTATGCTACAAGAGATAATATATTTCCTGAGGAAAGGAAGGGGAAACTGGATATTATCTTCAATTTTCAGCAAGATTAGTATGCTGGGCTTCCAAAAGAGAGGATAGGAAAAGGAGATGCTTTCTTTTTTATCACTTGAATCTTCTAATCAAGAAGAAGCTTGCATCATATTACAACAAGGTGACAAGATATACTAGTACTAATGTGTGCATCTCTGATGCCAATGAAGGGGAAGGACATCAAATTTGGCCAGATACTGCCTGGAGCAGTGCAATTTGATGGTATCCTTTTTGCACATGGCTTGTAAAGGAGCAAGTGAAAAACATCAAATTCAGATGGGATTCAATGGATCTTTCATTCAATCAGGATTTTGCAAATAGGATGAGTTGTAGGAGATGGCATGAGATTGTTGAGAGGAACTTGAACTTGAAGAAGCTTTGCAAAAATGATTTGGAAAGGCCACTCACTGGATGCTCCAATGATGGTAGACTTGCTTAAAAGTTTGCCTTCATCTACCACACAATTATTGTGAACAGCAACATAATTTTGAAACCAAAAGCATATTCAATTTTTTGGACACCCAGAATCACACTTTGTTTCTGAAAATTATCACAAAGACTTCCTACTGATTCCTGCATAGATACGTAC